AACTCCTCTCAAAAAGAACTTGTTTTAAATTTTGAGAATGATAGGGTATCGTCCATTTATTTACCCTGCCATTAAAATAGGTTATATGCAAATCCATGAACATCTTGATATTTCCACACCTAGGGAGCCTCTGATTGTCTCATAGGTGGAATGTTCAAGCTCCAAAGAAACTAATGGGGCAGAGCCTAGATGTAGCTCACTGATACTGCTTGAATCTTGGCAGTTTAGGAGGGAAAGTGGTCTCCACGCTCACTACACTGCACCTGTTTACAAATCGGAGCAAGGGCACTTCTTTCCTTCCCCACATATTTATGGTTCCAAGGGAAGTGACCACCATGCCACCGTGTAGGCATCCGATGTACAGCACAGAGGGAACAAAGCATGGTGGGCTAACACGGGGCACCCTCGTGACCCTCTGCTGGCCTAAGGCCAAGAAAACAACCACCAAAACAAGCAGAGGGTATCCAGGGCAGATAGCGTCCTCATGTGGACGGCCCAAGGAGCCAAGGGCCCGCAGGAGGGAGTGGGCACCCAGCCAGCAAATGCCCAGCCAGATAACACAGCTGTGATTCCAACACCACGTGGATCTGTTCACATCTGAAACTCAGAAACATCCCATCGTTTCACTAGAAAGTCTGTATCTGTAGAAAGGTGCTCATTTTTTCACCCCCTTGCAAAAGCAGCGTTGGGACAAGCAAAAGTAGTAGAAGTGAAATTATCTATTATTACAACAGAGCACCTCGTGACCCTCTGCTGGCCTAAGGCCGAAAACAACCACCAAACAAGCCAGAGGGGTATCATAGGCAGGATAACGTCTCATGTGATCGGCCAAGGAGCAAGGCCCGCAGGGAGGATGGCACCACGCCACACAATGCCCGGCAGATAACACAGCTGTGATTCCACACACGTGCATTCTGTTCACTTGAAACTCAGAAACATCCCAGTCGTTTATAGAATGTCTGTATCTGTAAAGGCCTCATTTTTTACCCCCTTGCAAAAGCAGCGTGGGACAAGCAAAAGTAGTAGAACGGAAATTATCTATTATTACAAACGTTCATTTTGCTGGAACCTGGATGCCCGAAGCGCTCCAACTCGTCAAAGTTTAAATGAAGCTAAATAAACCGATTTTCCTAGGGCGCAGAGTTGTGCCTGAAGCCCCTGACAGAGAGGAATACTTCCTCCGTTGGCGTTGTCCGTATGGGATCTAAAAAGGAATCGCACCAGGCTTGGTAGTGCTCTCTTAGCGACTGTAATCCGCTTTACTGTCTCCTAGGGAGTATAACGGTAAATACAGGGACGAGCTTTGTAGGACTAGGGGATCAAGACTAAGCCCTCGGTTTTGTTTTGTCACACACTTAAGTGACCTCTTTGCGGTCTTACCTGATGGTAATAGAGGACCACTACACAAGACTAATTAAATATCAAATGAGATAAAGCAGTGACAGCAGCAAGCATTGGTTTGGCAATACAGTGTTTTATTTCCCTTCTGGTCATCCTCGAGCTGTCCTAGAGGAGGAGGATAAGACATCTAGAATCATCTTTATTCATCTGCCCAGTATTGATTGAAAGGATGAAGGCTGGTTGGGAATTTTGTGGCCCTGGACTCATTGCGAGCAACAAGTACGAATCT